CCAAGAATAGACGTTTTATTGAAAAAATATATTCTTCATATATGTACAAATACGAACAATGACGATGTTCAAGTTGATAGACAATGACGCGAGCTCTTCCTTTTCTTCTGTGATAAACCAAAATACAAAGAGATGTCTTGCCGCCATATCAGACATCCTATAATAATTTTTCGATAATTTTGTAGCAGTCGTGTGATTTCCAAGTCCACGAGTAGCAATAGAACAAACCTCAGAAATTAGCAATGTTGTTCCTTCATATCCAAGAATAGACGTTTTATTGAAAAAATATATTCTATATGTACAAATACGAACAATGACGATGTTCAAGTTGATAGATAATGACGCGAGCTCTCCCTTTTTTTCTATGATAAACCAAAATGCAAAGAGATGTCTTGTCGCCATATTAGACTTCCTATAATAATTCTTCGATAATTTTGTAGCAGTCGTGTGATTTTCAAGTCCACTAGCAGCAATAAAACAGACCTCAGAAATTAGCAATTATTCCTTCATATCCAAGAATAGACGTTTTATTGAAAAAATATATTCTTCATATATGTACAAATACGAACAATGACGATGTTCAAGTTGATAGATAATGACGCGAGCTCTTCCTTTTCTTCTGTAATAAATCAAAATATAAAGAGATGTCTTGCCGCCATATTAGACTTTCTATAATAATTCTTCGATAATTTTGTAGCAGTCGTGTGATTTCCAAGTCCACGAGTAGCAATAAAACAGACCTCAGAAATTAGCAATTATTCCTTCATATCCAAGAATAGACGTTTTATTGAAAAAATATATTCTATATGTACAAATACGAACAATGACGATGTTCAAGTTGATAGATAATGACGCGAGCTCTTCCTTTTCTTCTGTGATAAACCAAAATACAAAGAGATGTCTTGCCGCCATATGAGGCACCTCTTTACATCCTATAATAATTTTGTAGTACTCGTGTGATTTTCAAGTCCACGAGTAGCAATAGAACAAACCTCAGAAATTAGCAATATTATTCCTTCATATCCAAGAATAGACGTTTTATTGAAAAAATATTATTCTATATGTACAAATACGAACAATGACGATGTTCAGGTTGATAGCCTTTGATATGACGCGGAAGACAGGAAACAACGAAGCGTTACGAGCAGATATAAAACTCGACAAGAGATCGATCGGCCGCGAGAGGATCAATATTCCTCGTTCGCGGTATATGAGGCGACGTAATCTTGAACGTCTTGCTCCTGTTGCACCGCAGCTTGGTGATCGTGAACTCGAAGCTGACCTTGACCATCGTAGATAGCGGCCGAGTGGTCGTTCTTGCCGGAAGTGTGCACCGCGGCATGAAATCCATCCTTGTCGGCGCGGTATCTGACCACCCGAACGCTACCACCTGGTTCCTTCACGCTGTACTGGCCAGACACGCTGCTTCCTGCGGAAAGGAATGCCCACGAATGAACGGAAGCCGCGAAACTGATTCCTGAACTTGTAACGAGACGTAATTGAAATTGCCAGGGAAATTTCGCCTTGGGATACCGGATGATCGAATCTATTAGCATACTCGCGCCGCGGGAATAACTTCGATCGCGCGAGAAACAATGGAAATCGCGAAGCAAACTCTGTCTTTCTCATCTTACTTATATCGTCTCCTTTCTATAATACATATTCAAGCAAATTACTCTCGCAGCTGAGTTGTCTCCAGTTTTAAATCTTCGCGACAAAGCTAACTATTTTTGTATTTAATATAAAATTTAAATTAACATCTAATTGGGAGAATTATTAAAATGAATTTTAATTTTTTAAAACTTAAAGAATGTAATTGATCTTCAACTTGAAATTAATAGAATAAATTACCTTAGTGATTACAGCGTTATATTTTTTTATAGATCCTATAGAAAAAAGTGATTGCGGGTTCCGATGAATTAATTATAATAAATTGAATTAATTATAATAAATTTTAACTGCAGAAGTTTGATAATTAAGTCTGTTCGACTTTTAAAATCTTACATGATTTGAGTTCAAATCGACGTAAGCTAGATTGGTTTCTATCTATAAAAATATTTAAATTATTGTACGAAAGGACTATAATTTAGCCAAAACGTAAGTTTCTTTTTTCTACGTAAGTGAAAGAGAAATTTTCTGTGGAAAAGAACGAAAATTTTATTGAACGATATATCGTCCATTTTGTTCGATTACCTTTGGCTATTTTTCTATATAAGATAGTTCTTATATAGTTAAAGACAATTTGATATCCTCATCAAGAGTGAGAGTTTTGCCATTGAAGGCGTTTTGCAGAGAGTAATAATGCGAATACGATGGACACACGTTACTCAAGCTACAGCAATTTTTGATGATTTTAAAATGTATGTAGCTTAGCTTAGCTTAGCAAAAAGAAAAAACACAATTATTCTTCCAAAACAATCTTAACACAAAATGAATTTCATTTCCATTGGAAGAGAAAATTCTAAATAATTCGTTCTCGAGGGGGATGAACAGCGCGAGAAGAAAGATTTCTCGCGACGGGAAAGAGAAACGGGCCGTTTTTCCTTCTCTCACCATCTCGCGTCTCCTTCTGAGCATGAAAATCGCCAGTCTGATGGTCCTCGACTCCGTATGAGAATTCGTACTTGGGATGCGCGACGTAGTCGAGCGCGTAGCGCAGCTCCTGCTGCTCGTGCCCGTGCAAATGGTTCGAGCTGTCCTCGTGAGCCTCCGCGTACGGTACTTTCACCTCGAACACTGGCCCCTCGACGGGTCCGTGAAACTGCAAATACGAGTTGGCCAGTGAACCGTGTTGCAGCGGATCCTGTTGTTCGTGCGAAGCCTCTCCTTCCAGTGATATCACGCCGGCTCGTGATCGATGGCCGAGAGCCAGCGCGATGGTCAAGGCGATACCGACCTGCGGCAGAAAAAGTCACGTTCGAAAGTACCTTATAACCTGACGTTTTTCTTCGAGCGGATCTGGCATATCAGTCAGCCGAAAGATTTACCGGTGGATTGACGTGTGAAAACGTAACATTTAACGGATCGATTTTTCAACGACCGCGCGGTTGCTACGCGAATAAATCCCCCCATCAATCTCTTCTTTTTTTCTCTCTCTCTCTCTTTTTTTTCTTTTTTTTTTTTGCAATTTTTTTGCCTATTCACGTGTCGCGTGATTGAACTAATTCAAAGATATTGAACGCGTTGACAAATGGAAAAAAAAAAACGCGACTCGCCAACGGGGGTAAATCATGAACGACGAATTTAAATTCTACGCTAGGAAGCCTCTGATTGCGAGGAATTCGATATTGCCGGGGCGGAGGTGCAATTCGCTTTCTTAATTGTGGACTGCGTATGAAATCGTGTCAATGTGGGTTGCATCGTGATGAAAGCAATCGAATACATGCTGCACTTATACCGGCAAATTGAATTTCAGAGACAGAGGCGCGGACAGGCGGGAATGAAACGGGGCGGCGAGACGAAAACACACTGGCCTGAGATGTCCCATTTTCAATTATACGCCGATTGTCAGCGGACAAGCGTTGACTATCGCTTCGGCAAAACACAGACCCGGCTCGTCGATTATACAAGCCAATAAAAGTTTCCGTGTTCCGTCGTGGATTGAAATTTGATTCCTTTCGTTTCGTTTGCACGCGAATCCCTTTTGTTGTGCGCGCTTACCATGACAAACGAAATTATTGAATATATCTCGTCGTTGAAGATATCAACGAAATGCAGATGAAAACGAAAAACGGGACGCAAATCGACGGGATCTGATGTAACGTGGTGCTTTCATTTATCCGTAGGTCCCAATTGTGCGTGGTTTGTAACGCTGTAACAAGTGTTAAACCATGTCAAACACAAACGAGTGGAATCACGGCATAAAGAATGCCAGTTGGTTTTAATTACGTGACACAAACCCGGAATAATAAGCAGTCGGGTCCGGTGTGCTCCATACGCGACTCGACTGTACGATTTTCGAAAACATGACACCGTGTTTCGCATAATTTTCATAAATCTTTGCGGTTGTTTATTTCGTTTCTACGCGAACGCGATGTTTCTTTCATCGGGAAACGGTCTCTACGTTCCGTGTTCCAGCTAACAAGATTATTTTCATGGAACAACGAGATGGACTCGAACGATTTCTGAAGAAATTGGCTCCTTTCGCGCGCTCTCGTCTCTCGTCTAAATTCTCCTTTGCATGCACTTTCGAAAATAAAGTAAACCGCATCCCGTATCGAGCACTTTCTCTACCGTCTCTTTTCCCCCCTCTCGTCCGTTCGTCCCTGCTCAATTTCACGCGCCCCTCTTTCATCCGATCCCCGCGGCTCAATTTCTTTTTTCGATACCGTACCTTGATCCTTGCGTCTTCCTCGTGTCTCATGGTACATATATGGCGGCCAGGTGAGAACTGCAGCTTTCCAACCGTAATCTCTAGCCTTTTATACCGCGGCAATGCGCATTCCGTGTATACACGCCACTCGTAAACAGATGTGAATCTGCCAGTTGCCATCGGTCATCGCATGCGTGTGCGACATGCGCGTGCACATTGGTGAATTTCGCTGGGACACGGCCACTCTGGCCCTCTCTCCGCCTCCGTTTCGCAAGCTTTCACGTTCGGGATCGCCGCGACAGAGCCGATTGTCACCAGCCTCGGACGATATCCCGGCTTTGTCCCTGCTCGACGACAGGAAGAACGTTTCTCTTATTTTACTGATCGAAGCGTGGACATTTGATCAGTTTGTGTTACGTTGCATGGGTCTAATTAACCCCTCGCGCTGACAATTAATTCGCGGACCATAACGAGTGACCGAATACAATAATTTGTCGCTTTCTGTTTCTCTTGAACTCGTCGGTACGATATCGCTGGATTAGAAATTATTAAAAAGTAATAAACTTATCATTTGTTTTGCCTGGGTTACGTTTATATATACTTAAAACTAAGAGAATGTTGCACGTCATTCCAGCGCAAGAGGTTAACCCCTTGCGCTGGCAACTGGTTGGCGAACCATAACGAGTGACCGAATACAATAATTCTTCGCTTTCTGTTTCTCTTGAACTCGTCGATACGATATCGCTAGATTAGAAATTATTAAAAAGTAATAAACATTTCATTTGTTTTGCCTGGGTTACGTTTATATACACTTAAAACTAACAAAATGTTGCAATTTGGGACAAAAAATTTTCGACGTGCGATTCCAGCGCAAGAAATTAAGAATTATTTATTTGAACAAGAGAAGACTTCCACTCCGGAATTTGTAAATATAAAAATATTATAATACCAGCTTATGTCTGCTGCAATTTGTCTGTGGATCCTGGTTTCTGGTTCCTGGCCAAAGTATCTTAGGACGACTCATGCATGACTAAATTCCTAATAACCATCTAGGCGATCGACGATTGTATCGTGCACGATAGCAAATTGGCAACTCACCGATTGATACTTTTAAGCGGTAACTTTGCTGAAACAACGAGCAGCTAGTTATCAGCAGATATTGTTACGTATTATTGACCAAGCTCTGGCTTCTTTGCTTCCCTGTCTCTCTCTCTCTCTCCTCCGCACCGCTGAGCGGCTTCTTTCCTTTTGGAAAGCACGAAGCCTCGGCGTCGCTGGACGACACCAGGATCGAATAATCCGCTTACTCCGTTCGAGCCAGGATTTATTTGGATTCTTAACCCCTCGGGAAACTCGGTGCTCGGATTGAATCGCGTCGGATCTACTCTAAATGCTTCGATCTCTCCGACAGTTTCTTTTTTTCTTCTCTCTTTTCCTGCCCTGCCCAGCTTGAAAAGCTGGTTGTCTCGTTCGTTTAATAGTGCAGTTTAATTCCTTTATTGGACTGTTTGTTACAGTTTCGAATATCCCCGTTCGCGGGCTCCGGACAACGGCTCGACTGCGTCTTTTAAACTGCCTTCGTTGCGCTAATCTTCCAAATCCCCCTTCCTTCCGAATTATTTAGCAAACGCCTCCGACGATTTACCGGTGCTGAAGTTCGAGAACGAGATCACCAATCAGCGTCAGTTTGATTATTGATTTCGATTATATACACAGCGAAGCAGCCGACTGGCTGCGAAACGTTTCAAACGTTTACCGAGGTATAATTCGACGGCGGAGCGTCTTCGGGCGATGTGTTTGAAGTCAAATATCAAAAGCCTTGATTTCCCGGGGCAGGTAGACCGGAAAACGCGAACGAAAGAGGAATAACGAGACGCGAGCAGCGTAAAGGGTTAGAGGATATACATCGCGTACGGTTCGTGAATGTTTGCTGAAGCTACTTTGACGCAATGAGGAAATAAGAGAATGTCATCGAAAAGGGAGGGCTGATTAGAGAAGTAAAAAGTTATGGCTCGGAGAGCTTGCACGCTGTCTGGCGTCCGCTTCTTTAAAACCGTACGATCGAACTTCATCCTTTTCCCTCCGCTTCTGCCATTTTCCATCCGTAAGTTGGAGATCCGGTGTTTTTTTCCTTTATGCGCTTGTCGATTGGTGCTCGTAACGTCACCAATCGTTTTACTCAAAGCCGAACATGGCACGGTACTCGAATTGAGTGCCACTACGGTTTATTATCAACCGTGGTTTGTCGTCGTCTCATTACGATTCACGTTTCGATTTACGTTACGTTTGGCCGTCGCTTTGACTCTGACGGATCGTGAATGTTGTCTCGGCGAAACAACATACAGAGTGCCGTTAGTGAAATTGCAATTACGATCAAAATCAGCAAGTAACGCTTCAAGTGTCTGCCCTGGTTCGTACGGACGTTTGACGAACACAAGGATAAAAAGAAAACGGATTTTTGTCTCTGTTTTCCTGCGACTTGGCGAAACGAGCTGATTTCAAGTTATTCTGTACAAAGGATTCCGATAAGTGCCAAACGTCTGGCATACAGATTGCATGATTGCATAGAAGATTTTACTTTCACAAAAAAAAAAAAAAAAAATAAAAACAAGGCCAACCGGAATTTGGCTAGTATTCTAGAGGAAATCTTTTCATTCCTTCCTTTTCCATGGTAAAAATCGCCTTTGTCCAATTTCACAAGCAAAGAACACCTTTCCCTCCTGGCGTTAACAAGACAAATAGCAAAAGTTCTCTACAAACGAACACACGGTCCAAACAGTGGCTGACAACGTGACAACGTACAGAACGGGATAACGCGATTGCTGCTCGTTACCATCGATCGCTAATTGATTCGCTTTGTGAACAGTTCGGTCAACGCGGATTTAAAAGCATTATTATTTATCCTGTTTTGGAGAGTGTACGTTCAGATGCAAGAATATACCCGCGGCAAATACAAATGCGTATATTCAATTAGAGGGAACGTCATCGACGTTTCTACATCAAACGATCGTTTGTTCTGCATGTACACCGTAGGCTATTTGTATTTGCTGTATACGCTGTAAATTATTCCTGCCCCGTGTCGACATATAGGGGCACTTCGTCTTCGGAAGGCCAATCACAACACCTAAATTTCTCTTGAAATTAATCCTTTGTCCGTGACAATTACAATTTTCGTGGCCAGATACAAGCGTCGGCTGGCGATGCTAATATTAAAATCGCTAATTGAAGTGGCTCTGTGAGTTTCGTTCGGGAGACAGAGATACACGAAAGCGGGATACGAAGTTGCTCCTTCAAAGAAAAAAAAAAAAACGTCTCTTTGACACAGGTACGCGGATTCCTTTCGACTCGAGTTCTGCCGCATCGAGCAAGATCTTTGAACGTACGATGAAGGTAAACAGTGCATCGTTCGAACAAAGATGGATAGCCTCCTATCGTCAGCGCACGTATATACTAGTTTCTTAGTTGCGAAAAGTGAAAATCAGAGAACAGTGATTGAAAATTTTGTTGCTCGAAAGAAAATTTGGCCAAGCTTTTCGAATAAATGAATAAAACTATATTTGTGTCTGAATAATTTTGACAATTTTCAGAGTGAAAGGATGTTAACCGTTTGACATATGCTGGTATGCACGCATATATTTTAGTTATGCATCTTTACTATGTTGTAGTAAAGTATAATGTATTATATATATTGTATGTATAATGTACTATACAATATTATAATGTTATAATATATTATACGTACACGTATATGTATAATAGTAAAATGTATAAAATATAGATACATAAATGATAAGTTAAAAAGACCAAGTTAAAAATTTAAAAGTGTCAAAAAATATTGAAATTGAAATATATATAAAGACAAAATAAGACAAAAAAGTTTTTTATAATAAGTATAAAAATAGTATCTCCATCTTTTTCACAAGCTTACTACATTCTATCTATTACGTTCGTTCTTGGAAGACGTATCAACAAAGCGGTGGTTAATTTTCTTAATGTTATACTTTAATTATCTACTTTAATTGTTTGTCTTCACAAAATAATTTTTATTTTAATTACGTTCAAAACATATAGTTAAGTAATTTTTTAATACATTATTTCGCTTAATTTCTTAAAACTAAAAACATTGACTTGGAGAATAATACAATAATACAAGTTTAATAATTTTATTTTAATTGTAACAAAGTAAAATTTAAATGTAGGTACATTACAAAACCGATACTGACGATATACAAAAAATAAAATTATACCTTCAAATATCTGAAAACATTGTTTTCGAACATATACTGTTCTTCAAGTCACCGATTCAATTTTATATCTCATAAAAGATATATCATTTTAATTTTTAGTTATTTCCTTCTTATAAAAAGTGCAGCCATTTCGTTTGTAAGTAAAAAAAAAAAAAAAGAAAAAGAATTTGTACGTTAAGCAGTTGAACGCTTTTATTTCTCATGAAAGAAAGAACAGGCTAATATACATGCGTGTGTGCCAGTCACGTTGCCTTTACGTCTCGAATAAGTACATGTTAAAAGCGCAGGCTTTTTATCTGATCCTTTATAGAGGATAATACGGTACGGTGGATGAAAATAAAAGAATCGTAACCACGATGAAATTTAGAATATGATCGAATAAAATGTGGCTAAATGGAAAAGCGGAGTTTCAATATTTCCCCCCCCCCCCCTTTCGTTTATGAATACGAAAAAATTTCATCTCGTCTTGTTATCGTTCTCTCAGTGTAATAAATACACGCTTTCGACCGTATCACAGACTGAGGATTAATTTTTTAATCAGAAAAAGCGAATTTCATTCCCTCGTGTGGATTTTCAACGAAAATTTCACGAACATTTTATAACACAGGGAGCACCTTGAGAGGATTACTTCGGCAACAGATCCTTTAATTTTCCAAGAGTTTGTTCTTCTTTATTAAAAGTTCTTAGGGAATGTATCGTTGGTTGGTATACGTGAAGCCGTAAGCAAGTCAGGACAATGAGAAGTTAGTACCACGATTTAAATAATTCATGGAAACGTCCGAAAACGTATCGATTCATTATACCGCAATGGTTTTGGAATTTATACATTAATATTATACCTGGCGTTATATACCGTTATAATTTATACCTGGCATAAATTGTATTACGCAAAAATACATGTGTATATATACATATTATATATATAATGTAATAATAATATTGTAATAT